CATTATATTCCCAAAAACATTTTTTTATATATTCATTCTCTTTGTAAAAGAATACTTACTCCTAACATATCTCCTGGCAATTTTTCTTTATACCATCCATCTTGTATAGTAAGAGGTAGAGTTTCTGAAACAATAAAGATGTCAGCCATTGACCTAAAGATAGTTGACATATGAATAGATGGAATAATGGCGAGCTATTACTGTGCCTTAAAGCTCATTTAAATCCACTACATGTCATTTAAACATACCAAGAGAGTTTCACATGTCAAAGGACAAGAAAAAACAGAAATATGGCACACAAAGGATCGTTGAAAAGAGTTTTAATAAGGGACTTAGGAATTATGATTGTCAAGAGACCAAAGCAGCTGAGTGTGAGTCATAGTCATTATCCTCAACAAAAACTGTAGCATATGTTTTATCAATGTCCTTTTTATCTGTTTCAAAAYTGATTTTGAAATGTACAAGCTACTATTATAGTATTCAATATATGATCAAGGAAACACTATTTTAAGGTTTATGGTAAAATTAGTTAAARATTGGATAAAAATTACTAGCATTCACAAAAGTTATCCCTGACAATGTGTTGTTGATGAATGCCAATATTCAAAATTTACATTTTTCTAGCTTCTTTGTCCGTCTGACACAATTGATAGAAAAGTACTCTTGATAATCAACAGCCCTTATCAAGGATTCTATCTCAAAATCTTGTGCTTTCTATWTTTTTAAATTACTTTTCTTAAATCCATGATTAAAATTCATGATTTCTATCAGCGAGAACCTTTGGTCATAGGCTTATAGGTAATCAAATTAACGTGTAATTCAAAATCAGGCAAAACATAGCATAATAATATGGTTTAGAGAAAGCGCGGTAAAACCATTTGCATCAACATCACTTTGTCTGGTAATTTCCCCTCGCATTATTATACAAACGCAGTAAATTTGTGGGAAGTTTTAAATTCTATCATACAATAAACAACACTCTAAAGGATCAAAATAAAATTCAATAAAACATTATATCAACCGCAATAAATAACAAATTCTTGAAAATTAATTTCCTGACAAAAACTTTGTTTGATAAAATAAATCTCACTTAAGACTACGATGGATAATCACTCCATACGTTTATTATATTGAAGAAAGACGACATATCGAAAGCAGCAGTCAAGAGCTGGGGAAATACCCTGGTTTATAGACAAAATATTGTGATTTTAAGCATTGCGAATTACTYATTCTAGAGATAATTTATCTGTCAAAACTATTTATTTTACGACAGATGGAAGGAAATGCACTCACTAAAAAACAACACTCTACACTTTCAACTAGTCTGTCGAATTTGACATTTCTTTGTCCCGTAGGACGCCATACTTTAAATGTCTTTGGAAACAAGGTATCTATGGAAAAGATTTACGAGGTAATTTGAAATAAATATATCTCTAAGCAAGCCGCAAATTGCCGATGCGGCTGTAGATTACAAACGATAAGAAAAGCCTTTTTGCTTCGGCCTGAAATCAATGACGAATCCTTTAAATATCGATTGGGGCGTTCATAATAGTTCAGCTAACTAAACGACAAAAGAATAGATATCGTGAAAAGTAACTTTAGCGGATTTAAATAATGGCTGTAAAATGATGAAAAATTCACAACTTTTGGTGCATATTCCATCACGTGAAAATGTTCGACGTGCTAAACAAGCTGTTCTAACGAMCCATTTCAAACCCCCCAAAATAAAATATCAACCAAGCTCATCTTACCATTGTCTGATAAAACACATCCTAGGAGGTCACAGAAAAGTAGAATTCCAACAATCAGTGATGGTTTGAGATAGTTACTGCCCATTTTCGTCGAAGAACATCGCTTCATGACCAAATCTCAAAATATTGGCAAACTCTCTTCCTGTGTTATGATCAAAGAAGCCAGCGGTTACTCCAGTAAAGTTATGCCTACTTCCCTTCTGCGCAAAACCGGAAGCCTCACCCTCGGGATAAACCGGAAATAGAAATAATCGGCAAAAACTTAAGTTTCAAAAATTGTCGAGATAATCAACATTTCTTGTAAGTTGAGGATGAAGTATTGGTTACTGAATATTATAATCCTATACTTGTTTGGGAATTGATATTAGGCGAAGCGGTGCTTTGTTTAAAATGATTATTAGAGCCAAAGAGCCGGTCGCGTGCTGTGGGGCGTGCACGACTAGCAAACCCCCTGCAGTTTGAAATCAGGTTTCCAATGTTCAGTAATTTGATCTCTACAATGCGAAATGCCACAGAATAAAGATAYCAATCCCTAATCGATAGAGAAATAACTAGGCTTATTATTAAGTCTTTTAACTACAGGAGATAGTCCTAATTCTGGAGTTTGAWTTTTTTGCCTACAAAAAACATGATTTGACTCCAGACTTATGGGACCACACTTGGTCGAGACAAAAAACCAACACTTGTCGAAGTCAGATAACTGAAGGGTCAGCTTTAGACAATACCGTGGTTCCTTTACGGTTTATTAAAAAAGAACGCAAATTGTTAGCTCAATTAGCGACAGAATAAGATGATATCGATAACATTAGCAGTTCACAATTTGTGCGTAAAAATCGTGCGCGCGTCTTTCGACAATTGTCGAATATCGAATGTACCATTACTCACGAGTATCTTTCATCGCTTGACAAGCAAGTTTGGATTAACCTATCTCGTCATCTGCATAAAAGAACAGGCCACAAAGCATTCTAGAACACGAAGAATTGGCATTCTAGAACGTATAATAGAATATTCAATCGACCAGACTCAAACTATGCATTCATGCGTCTGTCAGGTCGTCAACCATCTGTTCAAGGAGTGGTGTTTGCTTTTTGTGACAGCAACTGACTTTCAAATTCATAGTTTCGCGCACTGCGGTGTTTGATCTTTCAAAAGTTTCCCGTCGTGTAAGTAACGAGAGACAAATAATATTTATCAAGGAAAAAAAAATCAGTCATTTCAAATCGGCAGGGTTTTTTCCCTTTTTAATTTCAAACACGTACGTTGATCTGATCACGAACAAAGGCTTTAGTCGGTAGCTATTGGTTACCCTAATAAACGCAGGCGGGCGTCGAACACGGATTTTAATCAACTAAAGAAGAAAATTAATTTTAGAACGAGGTTGTAAAGGAAGGAAAACAAAAAGCCAACACAAAAACACATTTTTAGCAATGTGAAAACAAGAAAACACACCTGTTCCATYACGTACTGGTGAATCAATTCGATGTCTTTTTTCGCTAATAATTCAATACAAACGCATTGTGTGCTTTTTCACTTAGAATAATGATACTACCTACCGGAACAATTTGTTCTCTTACCCCCGTTCAGTTTTTGTTACGTAGCCACAAATGAAAATCAATTATTCCAAGAATTTCGTGAATCAAAGCCTAATAGACATGAGATATAAAACTCCCCTTAGATTATTTCACACGCCCCCTTAGCACACTCAAAAATAGGGTCAGAAATCTAAGGACAGTCAAGAAGGCTTACTCTCCAATGCGCAAAGGATTTCAAATCCTTCAGGAGTGTTTGGGTAATCTGGAATAACAAAGTACGAAAATCACAGAAAAAAGGCTCGTGGATATCGAACCWAGTCGAGACAAAGGCCAGTATCGATAGCTACTCATGTCGCCACCAAGACGGCTTCCTTTTGGGAGGCTATTAAACACTTAAGCCGTAATGGTCTAGTATACTTAAGCTTGTTCTTTAGTTCAAACGCTCAGCCTGTTCTTTGCGTACAAAATCTTCATAAGTCAAGTTAAAAACACTCTATTTGCTATTAAAATGAACATTCGTGATGTGAGGATCAACGAATTTAGCGCGCTATAAAACCTGTACTTGATGCGCCATTGCCGATAGCAGTGATGTGAGTATATCATGAGATAAATGTGGTTTAGTGYGCTTAATTATTGCAGCTGGTTTCTCTTTTATAAACCCATTAAGAGCAAAAACCCTGACAATGGGATGCATTAGGGCATAGAGGAAAACTTCCAARCCCTGTCATCCACAGAGAACGATAAAAAGAACAATTGGACATGATTGTTCATTAGAATTGGCTAATGAACAGTTTTAGTGTAAGAAGAAAAAGATTATGTCAGCTGGAACACATTTCTTATTAAAAGAGAAAAGAAACGCTTATAATTTTTTAAATTGTCTCTCGACCACAGAGCATTCTTTTTTAAAACATTTGCATGGTGATACATCCGTCATCTTATAATGCTGGCATAAATGGTAGACACAGAACTGATGATGCTCTTTTACAAATCAATGAAATATGTGCGTGTCAGCAAAAWTAAAACCGTTTTGACCACGTTCTGACCTGCACCCTCGAGGCTGACACCCTATGTGTCAAAGCATTTAATCACGTTAAAAGCAAAATAAACAGGTATCAAACACCAGGTCAACAATGGTACATTGCTACACTATAAGGTATCCTGATGTATATATATTGATCAAACGTATTAACCACGCTGGGTACTTAAGCACTGTTGAACACAAAACACAATAGTAACCCTAGCAGCGCGCGCCGCTTTCAAACGCTGCTAATAATCATCCTCCGTTCCCATCGAGATATTAAAAGAGCAACTAAGCGGCAATCCCTTTGTAGTTCACCATATGAACGGCACT